ACTTTAATTAGAACATGACCACATCATGTAATCACAAACTATAAAATTTAGGAGAGAATAAGATAATATACCTAGAATTTGAACAGAAATGATTGCACATAAATGATTGCAAAGTTTAATTCACTCATGTGCACTTCTATCTTGCATCTCTGTGGGGGGACTTTTGAGTGCATTCTCATGTGTTTTGCACGTCTTGAAATATTTACTCAACTCAGCCTTAAATTCTATGTACCTTCCAGCATATAGCCTGGAAATATAATCTTTCATTTCGTTGTCCTCTAGATCCACTTCAAAATTTATCTAGCATGAATTTACATCGGTTATGAGCATCTCTAGAATAAAATAATAACTACATACTAAAATAGTAACTTTAAAAGATATACTCTAAAAAGTTCAAGTACAGATGCTAATAGAGAAAATTACAAGAAGTGGATTAAAGCCTAACCTCAATCGCAATTACATGAAAAGTTTTAGCAATTTTAAAAAAATCCTATCCTATCCGAATGTAAAGTGCCTTTACTACTAGGAGGGAAATCATTAAAGGAAGAAAAATAAATGGATTGTCTGCGATAGCGGAATGAGCTAAAGAGGGTGACACTTTGTTGACACAAGACTTACGTGTGCACTAGGGGATACCTGCTTTATTCAAAATCTCATTGATGTTCATGATCACTGTAGAGTTGTAAAGTCGTTAGTTATTTCATAGAAACGGAAAATAACAATCAATGGTAGCAACCGTTGTCAAGACTTGGGGTTCCATCCTGATAGGAGAAATAGCCCATGTGTTAATATAGCACTTTGTTCATCCAAACTTTTCCGGTGTGAGACATTTAACACCTACCCCTCCTCACGACGAGACACTTTCGTCTGGATCGTGCCATGCATCATTCATTTGTTTTTTTTCATCGGTCCGTTTTTTTTCATCTGGCCGTAATTGTCATTTTTTCATAAGGGGCCCCACACCATGGATCGATTTGTCTCTGATACCATGTTAAGACCTGGGGTTTCATCCTAAAAGCTCAACCTGATAGGAGGAGTAGCCCATGTGTTAATATAGCACTTTGTTCATCAAATCATTAAAGGAAGAAAAATAAATGGATTGTTTGCTATAGCCGAATGAGCTAAAGAGGGTGACACTTTGTTGACACAAGACTTACGTGTGCACTGGGGGATACATGCTTTATTCAAAATCTCGTTGATGTTCATGATCAGTGTAGACTTGTAAAGTCGTTAGTTATTTGATAGGAACGGAAAATAACAATCAACGGTAGCAACCGTTGCCAAAGCTTAAAGCTTAAACACACCAATTTTATTAATAATAAAGCATAGTTTGAATACCCCCTTAGGATTATAAATAGACTACTTCTCCTAATTAATGAAAGATTCTTAAAACTCATACTAGGAAATAAACTTAAACTAGGAAACATTACTCATACTAGGGAACATATTAAAAGCCAATAAGTAATAAAATAAGTAGCTAATTAAATCGGCCCATCACCCCACGAAGGTGGGCCCCATCCCATCCGCGCCTTCTGTAAACGATCCACGACCTGGGGTCCTGTTCTCCTTCGTTCGCACCTCCTTGCCGGTCCGCAGGGTCGATCGGCTCCATATCAACTTCATCCTCCTTTGAAAGAACCTTGTCCTCAAGGTACATTGAAATCTGGACTTTGGCCCCAAAAACTTGCTTTATCCATCCATGTAGCATCGTCAGTTGGCTCTTCTTCTCTCTTCTTCCTTCTTATTTTGTCTTCAATCCACTCCACTCTCTTCTCGACTCTCTTCTTCACATGTTTCCCTGTCGGAGAATGATTCTCAGAATGAGAAGAAGTCTTAAAACTATCGGTAGAAGTTTCAACGGAGTTTTCCGAGGAAGAGGGGGAAGAGGGTAGAGAACCTCGGCACCAGCCTTTGTCTTTCTCTTTTCATCCTCGAGGACATTCGTTTGTTCACCTCCAGTGAAGGCCATAAGTTTGGTCAATCCTATTTTTATGTATCTAACATCGTAGAGTTTGATACAGTCGACCTTTTTCAGGTTTTGAGGATTGGTCAATCCTAGACCCTCCTTGGAGTTATAGAAATGTGTGTCCTTAGGCTGGTTAAGAAAAATGGTCTGGTCGGTTTGGCCCCTTTTAGCTAACAGGTCTTCGAGTTCTTTGATTTTAGTGTAAAGCGAATCCCTTATCTCATAAAGAAAATTGTTAACCCCAAAAAGTCTAATTCTCTCTTTCTCAGTAGTTCTAAGTTTCTCTATCAGTTCCTTTTCGCTAGCACTAAGTCTTTTATTCTCAGCAGTCAGCTTAGTAATGATTTTCTCTGAATTGATTATTTTGATGTTTGAGAATGTCTGTCTTTCACGCAGTTTGTTATAGATACCATAGGCTCAATCAAATTTCTCCTCTAGCTCCTTAATTTTATCATGCGAGTCAGTTCTACAGCAAGTATAAACAAATGGATTAGAGGTACTTACTTCATTGTCAACATTCTTGTTTTCATCAGAAAGGGCAGTCACTTCATCAGCATTGTTTGAGGTAGCCAGGCTCCTCTTTTCCTCAGCAGTGGAGGTTGTGTCTTTCTCCTTTTCATCAGCAACGGGGGTTGATTTCTTCTCATCTTCATCATCAAGAACAATCTCTTTGTCTTCTTCTTCTTCAACAACTGCCATTAAAGCCAGATTTTTTTCATCGTCAAAATCATCCATCCAATGATCCTTCTCTGCCATGAGATCGCTTTTGTCACTGCTTTCTTCCATAGCCAGTAGCATTTTCTTCTTGTTCAGATTTATCTTCTGCTTGTAATAATCAGCGTCTTTCCTCCTCTTTGGCATCCTGCAATCCTTCATCAGATGTCCAGTCTTCCCACAGTTGAAGCACTTTGGAGCATCCTCAGCATTTCCATTCTCGGAAGATTCAAATGAGCGTTCTTTCCTCTTGTTGTTGCTGGTTGAAGTTTTGCGGAGCCTGTTGTTTGAGATTTTTTTTTTTTTTTGCATCTGATTGTTGAACCTTGAGGTAAGAAGGGCTATCTGCTTCTGGAAGTCACGCAATTCATCATCATCATCATCAGTTTCATCCCAGAAACCAATGTCACTGTCAGCACTCTCACTTTCATCAGCTTTCATCTTATCCTTCTTGGAGCCAGATTTTGAGGGTTTTTCAAGCATCAGGGCTAGGGTGTCGGCTAGTTTGTCCACAGCCGCCTTCCCTTTTTCAGCCATCACAGTAGTGTAAATAAAGTCAGAAAAATCCTCAGCATACTGGTCGAGTGTGTTGTACACAGCATGGATATCCATCTCATCAAGGTCTTTAGTGTGTCTTATCTGTGAACACAGCTTCCTCCAATCAGGTCCAAGAGCAGACAGAAATCTCACATTCAGCTCCATATTAGACTTATGAACGCCAATCTTTCTCATCTCATTGATTAGCTGTAAGAATCTGAGATACGTATCTTCAAGGGATTCTCCGAGTTTAGCTTTGAAAGAATCATAAGCTTTGATATCTCATAAGCCTGTGAAGGTGCTGGCTTTCTTTGCTTTGACTCCAATCTCTGTGCCTTGCATAATCTTGAAAATTTCATCCCACATCTCCTTTGCAGTTGACATGCTATCAATCTGCATGTAGATGTCGTTGGGAATAGCCTGTAACAGGTAAGTCTTAGAAAGCAAATCAGCTCGGTCCTCATCATTGTATTCATCAACCGTCTTGGGTCTCCATTCGACTTCAACCGGTGGGTTGTTCACTTCATTTCTGTCAACGACAATAAGCAGCTATGCGGGGCCATTGGTGATGGAGTCAAGCATTCCTGATGATTGATCCTTACTTTCAAGAAAGTTAAGGAATCTGTTCTTCCAAACGTTGTACTCTCCTCTTCGTAGAATAGGGGGTCTTGTGTCGTTTCCAATTGACAAAGCGTCCATTTTATAATTGATCGAGCTGATCAGTTGATTGATTAAGTCATGTTTGTATTTGTTTAGAACTTTAAGCAGTAGGTTCATGCACTGTTGGTGGTGCAAATTTGTTTAAGTGTTGAGATCGCTCAACTTTTTGAAATAGAACAAGTCTTGAAATGAGGCAAGTCTTCAAATGGGGCAACTTTTGAAATGGGGCAACTTCCAAAGATCGCTCAAGTTCAAATGGGGCGACTCTTTGAAATGGGGCAAGTGTTGAAATAGGGCAACTTCAAAGATAGATCAAGTCCAAATGGGGCAACTCCATAGATCAGGCAACTATTAATCGGGCAAGAGTGAAAATCACGCAAGTGTGAAATCGGGCAACTCCACAGATCGGGCGAATCCAAGGATCAGGCAGGTCCAGATCGGGCGACTCCAAAGATCGGGCAACTTCATTGGAATAGGGCAGGTCTTAAACGCGCTAGTCTAGGATCGTGCAAGTGAGTTTGCGCGAAGTTGAAATCGCTCAACTCCAAAATCGGGCAAGCTATGTTGGGCAAAATGGAGATCGGGCAGGAGGAGTTGCGCGAAACCTGTTCTTCTTTCCAGAGGAGTTGCGCGAAAATGCAGAATCGCTCAACTCTCGCTTAACCTGTACGCCAAATTTCTGGGTGCGATTTTCACAGAATGAATCCTTGCAAGCCTAGAAACACTTTCCTGTAAACATTTTCCTGCAAAAATGACAACAAAAACTGAACAAAAGATCGCTCATGTGCAAAACTTCAACGATGAAGAATCGCGCAAGAGCCTTTTTCAGCCTTCAATCGATCGATCAGCTCCGACTCTGATACCAGATGTTAGGTCCCTGTTTTCTATTCTAGAATATGTATGGAAGAGTGATCAGATGAGGATGAAGCTTCCCATTGATGTGTAGAAGCTCTTACAGAATGATATGAAAACTTAGCATAGAAACCTTTACACGAGAATAGGCTCTACGGCTCTAGGTATGAAATATCTGGGAAAGCTTAACCTACTCATTCTCCTAAGGTGCATATTTATAGCCTTGGAGAATGGTAGGTTGACAAATGATTGGGCTCCAACTTTAAGGAGGCCCATTCCTATTTAGGCAAAAGAGCCTTTACCAAATAAAGCCTATTCTATGGTTAAATAAACTATTACAAAAAGTCTAAATAACATTGATCACAATATAATGAAAATATCTCTAACATCCTCTACCTCTGCCTCTGTAACCACCTCTAAAGCCTCCTCTTCCTCTTCCTTGTCCACCAAATGGATTATCTCGTGGGGCTTCTCCTTTGGCTTGGAATACTTTTTCTTCACTAGACTCTTCCATGCTAGTCTGCCTTTCATCAAAGGCTTGAAGAGAGCCTTTCAGTTCTTCAAAGGTATAAGTCTCCATATTCTTAGCTTCTTCAATAGCTGTTACTAATTGGCTATACTTTGAGGTGAGACTTCTCATAACTTTACTCACAGCCTGTTTAGAGGTTACCTCTTCACCATAGGTTTTCATCTGCTGAACAATTGATGTAAGTCTAGAAATGTAGTCTTGAACTGACTCCTTGTCCTTCATCTTGATTGCTTCAAACTCCCTCCTAAGAGATTGTAATCTGACCATGATTACTCTCTTATCTCCAAGGTATTCTTGTTTTAGAATGTCCCACGCTTGTTTAGAAGTTGAAGCTGCTGCAATTCTGGGAAAGATTTCATCATCCAAAGCTTGTTGAATGAGATAAAGGGCCTTTGCATCCTTTTTCCTTTTTTCTCTGAGTGCGGGATCCGCTTCTTCTTGTGTATTGTCAATGTCACGCCCCGGACCTATCCGGACACGTCAATAATCCGCCGTACAGTACGAATAGTCAACCGCAGTCCAACACATTCATACTATACAAGGCGTCTGGGATATCATTCACACATAGTACATCCATAAACAAACATAATGTAAAGTATTCATTCAAAATAGCGGAAACGTTTAATACGAGTGTTCGTGCCACACTTTGGCAAACATGGGCATACAAGCCCCCAAATGATTATTCAAAATATAATATCTATGAGCATTAATTTAAATGTTTTTAAAACAGGAACGGAGGAAGCACGAACCACGTCTTCCTTCCTCGAATTCTCCCGGAGCAACGGGCACTGGTAGCAAGCTCAGCTCCTACCTGAAACTGTGAGGTGGCCTCCCCCGTGAAGGGGAGGTCAGTACTTGGAAGCATTTGACAAGTACAATGACAACTATACTAAGTATAATCAAAGTTTCAATTTCCAAGACCCTCAATCTAGGGTGTTATTGTATCATGGTTAACTTTATTCGTTTGGTGTCAATTCATCATTAATTACCACGATCTAGAGCCAAGCTCAATAATCACCGTTACCTACTACGGTCTAGAGCCCAGCTCAATAATCACCGTCATCTACATCGGTCTAGAGTCCAGCTCAATAATCACCGATAACTACTACGGTCTAGAGCCCAGCTCAATAATCACCGTTATCTACATCGGTCTAGAGCCCAGCTCAATAATCACCGATAACTACTACGGTCTAGAGCCCAGCTCAATAATCACCGTTATCTACATCGGTCTAGAGCCCAGCTCAATAATCACCGATTCTTTACAATTCAATTTCTTAGGATCCATTCATCCATTATTCAACTACAATTCCAACTAATATTTCAATACTAGTTATTTACTCATTTCAATGTAATTCTTCATTCAATATGTAGTTTGACCTTAATATCAAAATATCACTTTTATTCTTTCATGGCTTCTTCTCATGAAATAAAAGCATACTTATCACAATGGGATTTATGGTTGATACTAATATCATGCCATCATATACATAACATATAAACATACACAATTTATTCAATAAATTTGTATATCATGCAAACTATACTTATATTCAATAGTAATTTCATTTAGGCATTATTAACCATTTATAATCCATGCAAATCACATTGTGTATTCTTTTAGGAAATCTCATGAAATTAACCCAAAGATTATAAGCAATATAGTCGGTCATCCTCACCTTAAGCGAGTTTAAGCGCGTTCTACGCTTCCCGGTTGAACTTTGACTAACTTTGACCAACTCCGGCAAACTTTGACCAACTCCGACGAAACTCCGGCGAAGCTCAAAGGTACTCTAAGTCAAGTTCCTAACAAGGTTTTGACATCATAAAACCTTAATCAATACACATAACCTCTAAAAGGTTTATTTTCCGGTGAACTTGTCGGTTTGGGTTCTAAATCCATTTTTTTGACATAGAACCACCTTCCAACCCCTTGTTCCACATTTATCAACATGTAGAACAATCCTAGGGTTCTTCATAATTCCTCAAATAATAATATATTCAAGAAAATAGGAGAAGAAGGTAAATGAAGTCATTACCTAGTCTTTCCTCAAGTTTTGTACACTTTTGGAACTTAAACCTTTTCCTAGAGCTTCCTTCTTGTTGGAGCTTTCTTCAACAATGGAGAGGGAAGGTGGAGGGTTTCCTTGCTCTTGCTGGGTGGGTGTTTGGCCGAAATGATCAAGGGACAAGGGGGTGGGTGTTACTTTGTCTCAATAGTATGAGTGGAGTGGGGAAGGGTCCACATTATTTGTTTGATGCCTTTCCCCTCACTTCACACTCCCCTCCCATCCACCTCTAACACATCAACCGGCCACACCCTTCAATTTGGGTAGCTAAATTCGTGGGTTGGCCCCCACCCATGTGGGAGGTCAACCCTTTTTGTCCAGAAGTGTACAATCGGTCCCGAAAGTTGTATTTTTCGGACTGTTTTAAATATATTTTATTTTATCGGGTCGAATAAAATATATTATGTGTTCTTAATCATTATACCCTTTATAATGAATGTACATTTCCCAACTTTAATTTATAGGTCTCCGAAATCCCATTTCGGGCTTTTATCGGTTAAATTACCAATACCGGCATTTTGGCCTTTTTGATCAACCGGTCAACTCTATATCGTTTCTTTGGACCAAATAAATTATCCACCACTATATAAATATTATATTGACCAAGATGAATAAAATATACTGTCTCGGGAATATCGGGCGGCCCTCGCTCCCGGTGCGGGCCCCACGTGCGAATTTACTATTCCCGCAAAAACATTAATAAAAATTCACAACTTCGAATACTCGTTAACCATTCCATAAGTTCAATACATTATTCACTTAAAAGTAAATACTTTTTGGGGACGGTGTTACAAGTTCACCCCCCCTTAATTGGGATTTCGTCCCCGAAATCCGCGTGTCTAATCGAAAAGAAACGGGTATTGTTCCCTCATTGAGACCTCAGTCTCCCAGGTTTCTTCTTCGACCCGATCACTCCTCCAAAGAACTTTTACCATCGGAATCTCCTTGTTCCTCAGTTTCTTCACCTGTTGACCCACAATCTTTACCGGTTCCACCGCATATTGTAGATCTTCACGTATCTCTACCGGTGGCTTCTCAAGAATATGAGATGGATCTCTCACGTATTTCTTGAGCATCGATACATGAAACACGTCGTGTATCTTCTCAAGTTCCGGCGTCAACTTGAGACGGTATGCCACAGCCCCTATCCTTTCAAGGATTCCAAATGGACCAATGTATCTGGGGTTAAGTTTTCCCCTCGATATAAATCGGATGATACCCTTCCAAGGAGAAATCCTTAGGAAGACCTTATCACCGACCTCAAACTCCAATGGCCTTCGTCGTTTGTCGGCATAACTCTTCTGCCGATCTTGAGCAGCCTTGAGTCTATCTTGAATGACTTTCACCTTAGCCTTGGTGATTTCAACAAGTTCAATCCCCTCGAGCTTGGCCTCGCCAACCTCGTCCCAACACAACGGTGTTCTGCATTTCCTTCCATACAATGCCTCATATGGAGGCATGCCAATACTTGCCTGATAACTATTGTTATAGGCAAACTCAACTAGAGCCAAATGTTTGTCCCAACTCCCTTGGAACTCCAGAGCACATGCCCTAAGCATGTCCTCCAATATTTGTATCACCCTCTCAGATTGTCCATCTGTCTGTGGATGAAAAGTTGTGCTAAACTTCAGTTTAGTACCCAAAGATGCTTGAAACTTGGGCCAAAATCGGGATGTGAATCGTGGATCCCTATCCGAGACAATGGATATCAGGACTCCATGTAGTCTCACAATCTCCTCCGTGTATAGCTTTGCCAATCTTTCAAGAGGATAAGTAATGTTGATAGGCAAAAAGTGTGCACTCTTGGTGAGCCTATCAACCACTACCCATACCGCATCATAGTTGTTCACTGTTCGTGGTAGCCCCACCACGAAGTCCATGGTCACATGCTCCCACTTCCATTCTGGAATGGTCAGTGGCTGCAAAAGCCCTGCCGGGTGCTGGTGTTCTGCCTTAACTTGCTGGCAAGTAAGGCATCGACTCACGTACTCTGCGATGTCTCTCTTCATCCCCGACCACCAGTAACTTTCCTTCAGGTCTCGGTACATTTTAGTACCTCCTGGATGCATAGCATATGCCGAAGAATGGGCCTCCTCTAGTATGGACTTTTGGAGCTCCTCACTCTTTGGTATGCATACACGGTCTTTAAACAGTAAAAGACCATCATCACGTACCCGAAAGTTCTCCACGGGCCCCTCAAGGATCCTTTCGCGGATCTTCTGACATTCTTCATCAGTGGCCTGACATCTACTGATCTCATTCAGCAATGTAGGCCTAACCTCGAATCTAGCAATGAGGGCCCCACTCGTGGACACCTCCACTTGTGCCCTCAAAGTTCGTAGACATGTGAGTAATGTCCCCGACGTACTCTTCCTGCTCAGTGCATCGGCCACTACATTGGCCTTTCCGGGATGATAGTCGATGATCAAGTCATAGTCCTTGATCAACTCCATCCATCTCCTTTGCCTCATATTCAACTCTTTCTGAGTGAATACATACTTCAGACTCTTATGATCGGTAAAAATGTGACATGTCTCCCCATAGAGGTAATGCCTCCAAATCTTCAGTGCAAACACTACCGCCCCCAACTCTAGATCGTGGGTAGGGTAGTTCGCCTCGTGTTTCTTCAATTGCCTAGAAGCATAGGCAATCACCCGGCCGTTTTGCATTAGTACACATCCAAGCCCTTGGATGCTAGCATCACTATATATGTCATACCCTATCCCTTGTGTGGGTAGAGCGAGAACCGGTGCTTCCGTAAGCCGTTTCTTTAGTTCGAGGAAACCTTTCTCACAATTATCGTCCCATATGAACTTGGCACCTTTCTTCGTGAGCTTTGTCAATGGAGACGCCAATACAGAAAATTTCTCAACAAACTTACGATAGTATCCCGCTAGGCCAAGGAAACTACGTATCTCTTTCACATTTTTGGGTCTCTCCCAATTCATAATGGCTTCTATCTTGGCCTTATCCACTGCAATGCCCGAACCCGACACGACATGCCCGAGAAACCCAATCTCTTTGAGCCAAAACTCACATTTAGAGAACTTTGCAAAGAGTTGTTTTTCCCTTAGTCGTTCGAGTACAAGTCTCAAATGGTCTTCATGCTCCTCTTCATTTTTGGAGTATACTAGAATGTCGTCAATGAATACTATCACAAATTGATCTAAGTATTCACGAAACACCCGGTTCATCATGTCCATGAACGCCGCCGGTGCATTGGTTAGACCAAATGACATCACCAAAAACTCGTAGTGTCCATATCTAGTGCGAAATGCACTCTTAGGTATGTCACTCTCCTTTATTTTCAACTGATGATACCCCGACCTTAAATCAATCTTTGAGAATACTGTAGCCCCTCGAAGTTGATCAAACAAGTCATCAATCCTCGGTAAAGGATACCTGTTCTTGATCGTGACCTTGTTCAACTGTCGGTAGTCTATACACATTCTTAGTGTAGCATCTTTCTTCTTTACGAAGAGTACGGGTGCTCCCCAAGGTGAATGACTGGGTCTAATGAACCCGTTGTCCAATAGCTCTTGAAGTTGAACCTTCAACTCTTGAAGTTCGGCCGGTGCCATTCGATAAGGAGGAATCGAAATGGGTTTGGTTCCAGGTTCCACTTCAATCACGAATTCGATCTCCCTGTCGGGTGGAAGCCCCGACAAGTCTTTGGGAAAGACATCCGGATATTTGCACACGACACGTACATCGTTGATGTCAACCTCCTTCTTTGCTTCATCCACCACATAAGCAAGGTATGCGTGGCATCCATTCTTCATCATCTTTCGTGCCCTCATCACGGATATTATACAACTATGAGATCCTCCCCGATCTCCCTCGAAACGTAGAGTGTTTCCCTCAGCATCCTCGAGTTCCAAAACCTTGGCATAACAATCCACTCGAGCGTGATGTTTCTCGAGCCAATCCATCCCTAGAATTGCATCGAATTCTAACATACTTAGAGGTACGAAGTCACAAGTCAAAGGTTGACCCGTCACTTCTACCTCACACGAAGGATAGTAGTGTTTCCTCTCCACATCGTCTCCTAACGGTGTAGAGACCAACAAGGGTTGCGTCATTTCTATCAACGGCACGTCTAAACTTTCGGCAAACGCTTCACTCACGAATGAACGTTGTGCCCCGGTATCAATGAGAATTCTTGCGTTTCTACCATTGATCTTTAAGGTTCCTACATATATAAGTCATGTAAGACACACTAGCCAACGTACCGGATCGAAACGGGGCTTAACGAAAATTTTTCCGGGTAAAAATACACTGGACCGGCGCCGGGTAGGGGTTGGACCGGCGCCGGGTAAGCTACTGGAATCGGGAATGGGGGATTTTTGCGTCGGACCGGCGCCGGGTATGGCCCGGACCGGCGCCGGGTATCCCCTGGAGCGAAGCACCGGAATTTCTTCCCGGACCGGCGCCGGGTCCCCCCCTGGCCGGCGCCGGGTAAGCCACTGGTTAGCACTCTCCGGGAATTTTTTCCGGGCCGGCGTCGGGTTGCCCCTCTGGCCGGCGCCGGGTAAGCTACTGCCAGCCCCTTTTTGCTAAGATTGACGCTAGGCCGGCGCCGGTTCAAGCCCGGGCCGGCGCCGGTTCGTCCCTGGGCCTGTCCAACTCGTTTTTTCCGCTCAAAAACGAGCCGAGAAGTCATTGGTTGGTCTGTACATGTTCCCTAAAGCTTATAATACACATGTATGTGAATAATACAAGGGTGAACCAGGGATTACCTGCAACAGAGTCGGGGTTGGCCCGAGCATCGGCCTCGGTCATTGCGTAGACTCTAGCTTGAGTCCCTCCTTGATTCACGGACGGCGCGTTGCTTGTGCTCGCTCCCCCTTGCCCCACACTAGCATGGGGTGCTCCGGTTCGATTCCTACTTGCCGTAGTAGCGCCACTTGATCCGGCCCCTCAGTTCCCACCAAGTTGAGAGCAATTTGGCTTAATATGCCCTGTACTTCCGCATTGGTAGCACCGTGGTGTATTACAACACTTACCGGCGTGGCTCCGGTTGCAATTCCTGCACCTGGGCGTCGTTGAGGCTTGTGAGCCCGAGTTGTGCCCGCTCATGGCCGGGTTTCCCCTTGATGGCGGTGCCGGTGCCCTGAACGACCCTCCTCCCCCATGGTTCCCCTTCTTATTGGAACCTTGGGGGCCATGGTTCTCCCACTTCCTCTTCTTCGCCTCCTCGGCGTCTCTCTTCTTTC